AAAACTCCCACAATAAATCCACTCTCCTGCCCCGAAAAGTCTGCGTAAGCAACTCCCCCCCCCCATATATGCTCGGATCTATGCTGGGGCTGTAGGGGTAGTAGCTCCGACGTTCAAGGGCCGGGACGTATAGGTGCATCCATGTCGTCAACTGTAAATTATAATTTTTAATAACTATCATTAATAATTATGTGTTTTTTTATATTTTAAATTCATATTTTTTAGCTTAGAATTTTTATAATTATGGGTTTCGTGCTAGATTTTTATAGGCCCATAATACTACCCATAATTATAAAAATTCTAAGCTAAAATACTACACAATACTATGCTACAAAGCTCTAAATTTTACTACGCTAAAAGGGTCTACGTTTTACTACGCTAAAAAGGTCTACATTTTACTACGCTAAAAAATAATCTAAACTAAACGGCATAAAAACACATAAATATACATGAGGATATTAACAAACACATTTTTTAGACTAATTTACATATTTTTATACAACACTAAAATTAAATCCAGATAAAATTTAACATGCTAGTTTTGGAAAAAATAAACACAAACCGAAATAGAACACATACAAATCAAGTAAAATGCATTGTTATAAAAGTTTCAACTTAAAATAAATCGAAATACCTCGATTTAGAATTTTCGTAAAGTAAATAGATCAAAATTTTGACTCCAGAAGAGTGAATCCACAATAACACGAAGCTCTACTCGACTGTGGGACCACCAATCTTCAACTTTTATGTGCCGGGGAACCCAATTTTTTTTTTTAAAAAAAATGGGGCAGAATCGATCAAAAATTGGGGGGGGGGGACCAAGAGGGAGTAAAATAATGGAGTTAGAATGAAACGAAGAAGAAGAAGACGGAGGATTTTTTAATAAGGTGTATAGCTCCATTAATAGTGGCGCTATGTAAGATGCGTCAGCTTTTAATTAATATAGCGCCACAAAAAGTGGCGCTATACAGTAACGGTGGCGCTATACAGTAACGGTGCAGTTACCGTTACTGTATAGCGCCACTTTTTGTGGCGTTATATATAATTTGGTAATTTTTGTTTAACACTTATTTCCGTATTTTGAGTAAAAAATAACCGCATTTTGGTTCCTCCATTATACCCCATAGGCCATAGCTGCTGATTTTTAAGTCTCCTCTTTGACAAAATATCCCCTCTACAAAATCTTTCACTTGTTTCTTCTCCTTAGATTCTCTCATTTACTAACCCCTCATCCTATTAATAATAAAATTAATTTCATCCCTTTACTTATCGTTCCTTTATTTTTTCTTCGTCACTCTCCTCTGTTCTTTGTTAGAGTTGTTAAAGCAGCTGAACAGTTTTCTCCAGCGATCTTGCTCAAGAAATCGATTTTCGGGAACCCCATGTGAACAAAAGGTAAATATTTTGGTTCTCAAGTTGTTTTATTTCCTGAAATTGAAGTTTCCCTTGGTGTCTTTGAGCTAAAAGCTTTTTCTACATTTAGCTTTGACTTTTTCTCTATTTTCGGCCACTGAAGAAGCTGAAAAGAACTAGTCATTGAAAATTGAGAATCTCTGTATACAGTTCAACTCTGAGGATTTTGTAATTCTTGTTTCTTCTTTTTAATCGTACTTTTTAGGCAATCATGACTTAATTTCTGGAGAAAAGAGCTTCCCATTTTGTCAATTTACTTGCAAGACCATTCTTTGGTCTTAAGCTTCGTATAAAATCAGTAAGAGAACTCTTAAAATTTGTTATGATCAGGTTGACTGCAAATAAACAAAGGAAATTCCCCTTCTTCTTTTCCCGTATCTTTTGTTAGTTTGTTCCTCTAATTCTGAATCATGGGCATCAAGTTTTGAGCTTTTTGCATAAAAACATAAATAGAGAGAAGTACAATAAGAAGAAGAGAAAAAAAGATGGACCTTTTTTTTTTTGGTGTATTGAAGATGGGGGGTCTAAGTTGTGAGTTGGAAATGTGATGGCAAACTGGTCAATTGTGGCACATTAGTCTTATTATCTGGCTTGAGCCAAGTGGTAATGAGGTGGGGTCTCACTTTTATATTTGTTAATCATTGTGGTTGGTTTTTTGGTATAATCATTCAATGCTGACCTTTCTTTTGTTTCTAGATGGAACACAAACAAAATTTTCAATTTGTCTCATATTTTATTTACCACGTGCATAGACTTCTTTTAGACTAATGAGTTTAATTTTTATACACTCACAATCAGATTATCTAAAATACAGTATAATTATATGTAATCGTTCATAATAAGTGAGATTAGTAACATGAAAAATAAGGTAGATCATTTGCTACAACAGATTAAAATATACTGGCAGTGTAAAGATTTGTTACAGTGTCAGTAAATATAAATTAAATCTTAGTCTAATATAGGATGCTGCAGTAGTTTGAACCATGAAGTTTTTCTGGTCTCTTTTTGATGTTGCTTTGAGCGAAAAATATCAGATTTTGGGAAATGAATGTGAAACCAAGACTTCTTGGCATGACTCAATGATTGTTAATAAAGGTGGAAAACGAATTTACAGAAATAAAGGTGACATGATTGTAGTCTTTGGACTTTGTTGTCAAACCTTTTGGTTATGAAAGGAAGCTACCTTGTCAATTCTTCATGGTTTTCATATTGCTCGACCTTTACAAGAAAGAATACAATTTAATAAAGATTTAACTCTTCATAGCTTTTATTTAGCAGTTTGACCTTCTTATATTTGATTGATTTCACTTAAAAAGTCCCTGAAGTATTCTACTCAAATCCGTCCTATGTTGAGCAGGCAATTCATCAATCTAAGATCTTGCGACCGGGCAATGGAGGAAGTAGTGACATTAGTTGCATTTAGACTATTTGTTATTCTATCAATTTTACTTCTACCAAATGTATCCGAGGCGGAACCCAGATCTCAACCGGTCCAGATCATATGCGGTAACCAACACGAGCATAATACTACAATTTATGTCCCAAATTTTGTTGCCACAATGGAAACCATAAGTGAACAAATGAGAACTAGAGGCTATGGAGTAGCAGTCACCGGCACTGGACTGGACGCTAACTATGGACTAGCACAGTGCTATGGTGATCTTTCTTTACTTGACTGTGTCTTATGCTATGCTGAAGCCCGAACAGTCCTTCCTCAGTGCTTTCCTTTCAATGGAGGGCGAATTTATCTCGATGGCTGCTTTATGCGGGCTGAGAATTACACATTCTATGACCAGTATTTAGGACCTGAAGACAGACATGTCTGTGGAAATAGAACCAGAAAGGGTTCTTTGTTCCAACAAACCGCTAGGCAGGCTGTTCAGCAAGCTGTTGCTAATGCACCAAACAGTAATGGCTATGCACGCGCTGAAGTGGCAGTGCCCGGGGCAACAAATGAGACAGCTTATGTCCAAGCTGACTGCTGGAGAACACTGAGTGCTAACTCGTGCCGAGCTTGTTTGCAAAATGCATCTGCCTCTATGATGGGGTGCTTACCCTGGTCAGAAGGCCGAGCATTGTACACTGGATGCTTCATGAGATACTCGGATGTTAATTTTCTTAACGCTATAGCTACCAGTGGAGACTCATCATCAAATGGTAATCTTTATTCTGTCTTCTTCTTTTCAAACTGTCATGGGGACCATGTGGCTGATAGTACATATTTTCAGGAAATGTGGTAGTAATTGTAATTGCTGTTGTTAGTGCTGTGGTCGTTTTGGTAGTGGGAGCTGTTATCGCCTTTTATATGTGGAAGAACAAACAAATACAGAAGAAGAGAAAAGGTAAAACCTTTGGTAATATTTCAGCTAAAGGCTTTAGCTTTGAGTATTTACGAAGTAACTAAGAGTTTGAAATATCCAGGTTCCAATGATGTGGAGAAATTAGTGAAGACTCTTAACGATAGTAGCCTGAACTTCAAGTATTCAACTCTTGAGAAAGCCACCGGGTCTTTTGATGAGGCGAACAAGCTTGGTCAAGGTGGATTTGGTACAGTTTACAAGGTAGTGGGCTGAGAATATTGCACTGCTTAACATCTTTATGTTTTCAGTTTATCCATAACTATAATTCACAATTACGAGTATCCACATGATCACATCAGAGTAAGTTTATACGATATGCTTACGTAGGGGTGTTCATGGTTCGGTTTGGATCGATTTTTCCCTAAAAAGAAACCAAACCAAGTAAGTCGGTTTTTCAAATATTAGAACCAAACCAAACCAAACCAATTAAGTCGATTTTTTCTCGATTCAGTTTATGTCGGTTTTTCAGTTTTTTCGGTTATTTGTCGGTTTTTTCTTAAATATAAGACATACACTACCAAACACATATTTCGGCGACCACATTTCAAAGTAACACTATCAAATCAATTGCCCTTTGAGAAATCTATTATTTACCAAGATATATTGATGATAATTGAATCAAATAGTGATGAATAATTTAAGGACTCAATTAAAAATATGTTATTTTTAACATGAAATAGATTCTTACACTTAACAAAAGAAAACTACCAATCAAACTAAAATGCAAAGGTGAAGAACTATACTAAAAGTGCAAACGATTAACATTTAAAATAAAATTTTTGAAATTTTGTATAAAAGTATACATATATATATAGGTATAATAATAAATTTAAAATAGCTACTCCTATATTCGGTTTGGTTCGATTTTTTTTTTTATTAAAACCAAACCCAAACCAAATTTGATCGGTTTTTAAATTTCAAAACCAAAACCAAACCAAACCAAAAAGTATTGGTTTTTTTGGTCGGTTTGGTTTGATTTTCGGTTTGGTTCGGTTTTTCGGATTTTTATGAACACCCCTATGCTTACGTTGTCAGGGAGTTCTACAAGATGGGAGAGAGATTGCTGTTAAAAGGCTGTTCTTCAATAACAAACACAGAGCTGCAGATTTTTACAACGAAGTCAACATTATTAGCAGTGTTGAGCACAAAAATCTAGTAAGGCTATTAGGATGCAGCTGTTCTGGACCTGAAAGTCTTCTTGTATATGAGTTCCTCCCGAACCAGAGTCTTGATCGGTTTATCTTCGGTGAGTAGCAGTAGCAGAACTTTGCTCTATCTTAAATTGTTTTATACAACTGCTGCAATGACTTTAACGCACTCCTGATTCTTATTGGCATGAAACTAATTGAATTGACCCTGTACGTTGAAATCAGCAGACCCTAGCAAAGGTAAAACACTGAACTGGGAAAAAAGATTTGAAATCATTATAGGGACTGCAGAAGGTTTGGTCTACCTCCACGAAAACAATAAGACGAGGATTATTCATAGAGATATAAAAGCCAGCAATATTCTTTTGGATTCAAGGCTCAGAGCAAAAATTGCTGATTTTGGGTTGGCCAGGTCTTTCCAAGAAGACAAGAGTCACATAAGCACTGCCATTGCTGGGACTTTGTTAGTGATTCTTTTCTTTCACCATTTAAATTGTAGTTCAAAACATTAGTTCACTGAATACTTACAGCCAGTAGGTTAATTAGTTATCTCTCAGTCAATGGTTAATTTTCTATTCTTTCCTTTGCAGAGGATATATGGCCCCAGAATACTTAGCCCATGGCCAATTAACCGAAAAGGCAGATGTTTACAGCTTTGGTGTTCTTTTATTGGAGATTGTTACTGGAAGGCAGAACAATAGAAGCAAACACACTGAATACTCTGACAGCTTAATTTCTATTGTAAGTTGTGAACAAATTCTTATATGCACTTTCAATATATAGAAAGTTTTTGCTCATCGGTTTAGCTGTTTCCGTATATTGGATGAAAACAGGCATGGCAGCATTTTCAACATGGGAGAGTAGAGGAATTGTTTGATCCAAATCTTATGTTGCACAACTACCATACTATCAATGTAAAAAATGAGGTTTTAAGAGTGGTACATGTCGGGCTATTGTGCACACAAGAGGTTCCGGGATTAAGACCATCTATGTCCAAGGCATTGCAGATGCTGGTAAAGAAAGAAGAAGAGTTACCTGCACCGACTAATCCTCCGTTTGTAGATGAGAAAACCATGGAGCTTCACGACCCTTGGGATACTCCATCTTATCCCCATAGAGAAGGTGATTCGGCTTCAATTGCCAACATCTCTCACAGTTCATTCTACCCCAGATGATGTTTCAGTGGCCTCATATATAAATCTGCGAGAGAATGAAATCTCCACTATCATCTTGCCTCGTGTTCCTTTTTGCATACTCTAGGAGCAGATGTTTTGTTAGTAACAACTGGCTATTATTATTGTAATGGTGAAGTGTTTGCGTATAGGGGGCGGTTTATCGTTGTTACTAAGTATATACACATTACCAGGAAGAGAAATCACAGAGCTTTTAATGAGAATTAGATAATTAGCAGTGTGCTAGCTACTTCAAAGAATGGAGGTATTGATTCTTACACATTTTGAATCATTTTAGTATTATCTTCTTCTGTAATTCTTGCTTCTTTATCCATTAGTAATTTCACCAAGCCTTTTTTCTTTTTGGTTCATGAAGATTCTAGAACGTAGTCATCCAACACCTTGGCTTTTGGCTTGAAAATTACGTTGCTGCTTGTCATTCACAGCTTGTTTGGATGGTTGTTACCTGTTGTATTGTATCGAATTGTTACGTTAAATGTAATGTTTGTTTTAATTGTTACTTAAATTTTTATTGTATTATATCCAGAGGCGAAACCAGGATTCGAAGCTAAAGGGTTCGAGATTCTATTGATTCTAATTTACTGAATTCTAAATTAATAATTTGTACATATTCAATGAATTCTTAAACACAAATACACGGTTTTGAACAAAGTCACTAGGTTTGTCGAACCCGCATCCGAAGGTCTAGCTCTGTTCCTGATCGTATCATTAAATTCGTTGTTATCTAAAGGCTAAAAACTCCACTTTACGGAACAACCAATTTGGTGGGACGCATCGTTACCTTATTTTTTTCCTCTCATCTTGCCCTTCCATATTATTAAATAATCGTATTTTTATCCTTTACCCTACCTTTTTATATAATAATTTTATCTTGTACCTTACTTTTTCTTTATTATATTGCAAGTTTATTATTCATATTGTTGGTGCATGATATCATGAAACAACAAGAAATTAAACAATACAATCTATCCAAATATGGTATACATCAAAACGATACAGTACAATACAATACAATACTATATTATGCGTTACTTTATGAATCGATACATAACAACCATCCAAACAAGCTGTCAGTTTCGAATGTTTCTTTCAACGAATATAAAGAGAAATAAGTGGGATAGATAGCAAAAGGCTGAGAAATAAGTGGGACAAATCATCGGGGCTATTGTATCACTCCTCAAATTTATAAAAGTTTCGAGACATGCTAACTATAGAACTAAATTATTACTATTTTATTATTTTTATCTTGCCTATAGTGATATATATATATATATATATATATATATTGGATATACAATTAGAAAAATATTAATAGTTTTAATATTGTTAATTATTAAAAGTGGGTATCATTAAATACTAATTAAGTCAAAAAAAAGGAAAATAAATAATTGAAATAAAAAAACGTGAGCCTTAAGCCCATAAAGGGCTCTTGACAGTAAAGGCGTGAAAGCCTTAGCCAAAAGACAAGGGTTGTGAAAAGTTTAAACAAAAGGAGATTCTCAAAAAAGAACACTTCACGTTCTATTACTAACGCAGAGCCAGCCACGAAATTGCACCCAAAGTTCTAAGGTTGTTTACAAATCACTAATTGTTGAACTCAGGTATGTAAAAATTCCTTATGGTCAATTACCCTACAGTAGTAATAGGTAAGAATTAAATAGTTAATTCCCTTATTACTCTATATCAACAATAAAGTTCATGTTTCGGTGTAAAACTTTGAAATTAATTAAAATGCATTGGTTTGTAGAATCAATTGTTTGACGGGTATAAATTGGACTGGGGTCTACGTATTGGTTTGAGGTGAGTTGATATAACCCTTTACTAAAGTGGTTTAACTCACAAAAGCATGCATACAAGATGTTTGACGAATTGCTTAAAAAAGTTTATATTTGCTTAATTGGAGCGAGTGAGTACCTATTAACTTAGAATTTTTCTAGCAAAAGTTTAGATAATTTATTATGATATACGTGCATAAATTTATTATTTTCAAAAGTCTAGCAAGAAACAAATAAATGTTTCTAACCAGTCAAGCAATCTTTTAATAGCAATCTTTAATTAACCGTGTGAAACCTTAAACACCAATAGAACTATAGTTATGGATTTCTGTATTCTAAAATTGGTCAACAAGAACATTAATACTAGATTATAATTCCAGCTAGGTGGAGACCTTATTATCAACTTCCAGTAAAATATCTCCAATAGCTAAATTTGCTATATGGAGAGCAAATTTAGCACCAATTAAAGATGGGAACAGGCCAACAAAAAGTTCACACTATCACCTTTAATTTCTTTTTCTATAATGTTGAATAGTATTATGTCATTACTAATATAAGAAAGTAATGTTTTATTATTTAAAACTAATTTTAATACGTAAGAATCTTCGAATGTGCTTCTTTCGCTTTTTTGTAATTGGACAGATGTTAATTTATGGGTGTCAAAATCAGCATATAATGTGTTATTCTTATATGCTATTTTCATATTGAAAATTTATGAAGAAGCAAAAATCTTTAGAAATACTTTTAGATGTTTATTTCATTTTTATGTCATGCTTTATATTTAAGGATACCAGCCAGAGCATGTACATGATATTCCAAAAAGAAAAGATTTAGACTTGAAAAGTCACAAGAAGAAGTAGAAAGAAAAGATTTTTGGGAGTATCCTTTATTCTGAGAAGAGGTCATCGTCCAGGCCGAGGGTCCTGACCAAGGCGTTGACTTCCTGAAACTACTTGTGCCAAAGTAGGGAGCACACGAGCCGAGGGTCTCGTTGTTGAGAAATTACTTAGCAATGCTAAGGTATGATACATGAGCGCTGAGAACCATGAAGTGAGTGACACCTCGTGGATTGGGCCTATTCGATCAGGTTGAGATCAAACCCGTGCCGATCACACGGTGACTGAGACAGAATTAAGTCAGGATAGTTGGAACTCCCAAAGTATAAAGTGAAGTATTTTTTTATAAGAAAGAAAAAGAAAAGAATTTCTTTTAGAATATTCATAACTGCTATTATGCAATTAGTTTAGAATTATTCTTTTAAGCTTTATGTTTTAAATGTATTTAGAACCTTTGCTCGTAATGTAAATGTTATTAAAGTTTCGCCCCCTGTTGTTGAGATTCACTGAGTACAATGGATGGTACTGACGTTCTCTTTTGGGAACCTACGTTAGTCTGCGGTACAACGTAGGAACCGGTTTTGCAGGCGAGCAGGCTACGGGTTAGGACTTCCTTCTCTTCCAGTGTTATTGATGAGCTCCGCTTTTGTTCGTGGAGTATTCCTTTGAGTCATCTTTATTTAGTTATTTCTTTGTTTACTTAGAGAACTGGCCAGGAAACCTCATGTCCTGAGCAGTGAGTTAGTTTATCAGTAGAGGCTTCATAGACATAATCGTTGGGTTAAGATTCAGATGTTTTTGATAATAACTTAGCAGTATTTCATTGGTTACTATGAATAAAGTTTTGGAGTTGATTTATTTAAATGTTTAAATTAATCAAAAGTATTTGGTTAGAGTATTGCCTTGTTGCATATAAAGTTTGGAGTTATATAATAAATTTGATAAGCAGAGATGGTTCGCTCGGTCATGTTTAGTGATCGAATGCCAGTCCCGGCTTGCTCAGGAAATGGGTCGTGACAGCTATTGACCATTTGTTATCGTAATTCTAATTGACTGAAATGCTAGTTATTTCTACTGTGAATTTGCTCTACTCATTGGGATCTTTTAATTTGCTGGCCTAAAGTTATATATGATATCAGGGATGAATCCAATATCGGCTGCAGTTGACCCCAATAATTTTAACGCGTACATAAATTTATGTGTAAGAATTTATTAAAATTGTAATAAATATGAATACGCAACTTTAAAAAAATAATAGGTTCAATACTAAAAACCTTAAAAGTTGGACCTACAAATCTTAAATCCTGATGCCCCCTCCATATAATATTCTATAACATGAATTCAAATTAGAAATGGTATTGCATAACGACCTGCCTGCCTGCAAAATTAACACATTATAATTGTTCCTTGTTTTTACTCTTGTTATCAAATGTCTTGTTTATGTTCACCTCGTTATTACATTTACGTTGGTGGAAATTATCCACTATGTTGACTTAACATTAACATTAACATTAACATTAACATTAACATTAACATTAACATAATGTTTGGTCTTATAATATGGGCTAAACAAATATAGTTGGTGGACATGACTTAGAGAAATTTTCACGAATAAGCTATTTCGATGTTGCTGTTTAACTTTTGACCCCGCTTAAAAAAATTGCATGAAAATAACTTCCAGCCAGGAGTTGAGGTTCAATTCCTGAGGGATCGCCAGAAGATTTGACTTGCCATAACTCAAAGCAGATCACGAGGAGTTTAGTACAAAAATATCCTAGCGGATGACTAGGAAATTCATGTGGATGAGCTTGTCACGACCCATAATGGATCACAAGGAGTTCAGTACGCTCGCTAGAAGTTCTGACAAATTACTAGGAGTTTAGCATAAAGGAAAATTGGCATGCAAATACAACCCAATCCACCTATTGGCAAGAAACAGCCCAACTTCAAGTTATTGGACAGGTTTGACATTTTAACTAAAAGAAATTGGCAAAATTATAGTCTCATCCCCTATTTTTCGTGGGCGTTCAGTACTTCGTTATTTAAGAATGTCGGCTCGTTACTTTTAATATTCGATTTTTCTATTTCGAATACCACATTAAAGTAGTTCGGTGCAGTTGGTATTTCTTGTTTAGTTTGATATGGTACGATTTCAGTTTGATGCCTTAAAGGAATCGTATTCTTTTAAAGGAATAGCAATTGTCATATAGTATACATTGACGAGTAACATACGTTCAGACTTGAAAAATATATATTAAAGAACAAGTAGCAACACTTGCCTATTGCAGCAATTAGGGGTGTACAAAGGAAACTGACAAACCTCACCAACCCGATAATCTGAGTCAAACCGAGAAAAAAAACCCGATTATGGGTTGGTTTGATTTGGTTTGGTGTTGGAAAAAAAAACCCGACCATAATTGATTTGGTTTGGTTTTAACTAAAGAAAGTCAAACCGAAATCAAACCAACCCGATATTACACATATATAAATTNCAAACCAACCCGACATTACATATATATAAATTTTAGATATATTTAATATATAAATATACTTATTGTGATGTAATTTATAAATCTTTCTTAAAAGATTTTATAATTTTATTTTTTGAGGTATTATTTTAAGGTTGGACTTAGAACTTTTGAATGTTCCAATAAGTTTTATAGCCATTAACATTAGTAAATTAAATAGTGCTAACAAAAGCCCAAACCAAAATCAAATCAATACTAATTCTAACAAAAG